GCCAATTCATTAAGGTCACTTTGAATTTTGATCGTGTGCTCAAAAGTGCTTGCAACCTCTCCCAGCTTGGTGTCATCCACAAATTTTATAAACATACTCTCTCATCCATTATTCAAGCAATTAATAAAAAAAATGTAATAGTACCAGAGCCATGCAGGGCTTATCATAGAATCATAGAATATCAGGGTTGGAAGGGACCTCAGGAAGTCATCTAGTCCAACCCCCTGCTCAAAGCAGGACCAATTCCCAACTAAATCATCCCAGCCAGGGCTTTGTCAAGCCTGACCTTAAAAACCTCTAAGGAAGGAGATTCCACCACCTCCCTAGGTAACCCATTCCAGTGCTTCACCACCCTCCTAGTGAAAAAGTTTTCCCTAATATCCAACCTAAACCTCCCCCACTGCAACTTGAGACCATTACTCCTTGTTCTGTCATCTGGTACCACTGAGAACAGTCTAGATCCATCCTCTTTGGAACCCCCTTTCAGGTGGTTGAAAGCAGCTATCAGATCCCCCCTCATTCTTCTCTGCTGCAGACTAAACAATCCCAGTTCTCTCAGCCTCTCCTCATAAGTCATGTGCTCCAGCCCCCTAATCATTTTTGTTGCCCTCCGCTGGACTCTTTCCAATTTTTCCACATCTTTCTTGTAGCGTGGGGCCCAAAACTGGACACAGTATTCCAGATGAGGCCTCACCAATGTCGAATAGAGGGGAACGATCATGTCCCTCGATCTGCTTGCAATGCCCCTACTTATACAGCCCAAAATGCCGTTAGCCTTCTTGGCAACAAGGGCGCACTGTCGACTCATATCCAGCTTCTTGTCCACTGTAACCCCTAGGTCCTTTTCTGCAGAACTGCTGCCTAGCCATTCAGTCCTTAATCTGTAGCAGTGCATGGGATTCTTCCGTCCTAAGTGCAGGACTCTGCACTTGTCCTTGTTGAACCTCATCAGATTTCTTTTGGCCCAATCCTCTAATTTGTCTAGGTCCCTCTGTATCCTATCCCTACCCTCCAGTGTACCTACCACTCCTCCCAGTTTAGTGTCATCTGCAAACTTGCTGAGAGTGCAGTCCACACCATCCTCCAGATCATTAATGAAGATATTGAACAAAACCAGCCCCAGGACCGACCGTTGGGGCATTTCGCTTGAAACTGGCTGCCAACTAGACATGGAGCCATTGATCACTACCCGTTGAGCCCGACGATCTAGCCAGCTTTCTATCCACCTTATAGTCCATTCATCCAGCCCATACTTCTTTAACTTGCTGGCAAGAATACTGTGGGAGACTGTATCAAAAGCTTCGCTAAAGTCAAGGAATAACACATCCACTGCTTTCCCCTCACCAACAGACCCAGTTATCTCCTCATAGAAGGCAATTAGGTTAGTCACACATGACTTGCCCTTGGTGAATCCATGCTGACTGTTCCTGATCACTTTCCTCTCCTCTAAGTGCTTCAGAATTGATTTCTTGAGGACCTGCTCCATGATTTTTCCAGGGACTGAGGTGAGGCTGACTGGCCTGTAGTTCCCCGGATCCTCCTTCTTCCCTTTTTTAAAGATGGGCACTACATTAGCCTTTTTCCAGTCATCCGGGGCCTCCCCTGATCACCATGAGTTTTCAAAGATAATGGTCAATGGCTCTGCAATCACATCCGCCAACTCCTTTAGCACCCTCGGATGCAGCGCATCCAGCCCCATGGACTTGTGCTCATCCAGTTTTTCTAAATAGTCCCAAACCACTTATTTCTCCACAGAGGGCTGGTCACCTTCTCCCCATACTGTGCTGCCCAGTGCAGCAGTCTGGGAGCTGACCTCGTTCGTGAAGACAGAGGCCAAAAAATCATTGAGTACATTAGCTTTTTCCACATCCTCGGTCACTAGGTTGCCTCCCTCATTCGGTAAGAGGCCCACACTTTCCTTGACTTTCTTCTTGTTGCTAACATGCCTGAAGAAACCCTTCTTGTTACTCTTAACATCTCTTGCTGGCTGCAACTCCAAGTGTGATTTGGCCTTCCTGATTTCACTCCTGCATGCCTGAGCAATATTTTTATACTCCTCCCTGGTCATTTGTCCAATCTTCCACTTCTTGTAAGCTTCTTTTTTGCATTTAAGATCAGCAAGGATTTCACTGTTAAGCCAAGCTGGTCGCCTGCCATATTTACTATTCTTTCTACACATCGGGATGGTTTTTTTCTTCAACCTCAATAAGGATTCTTTAAAATACAGCTAGCTCTCCTGGACTCCTTTCCCCCTCATGTTATTCTCCCAGGGGATCCTGCCTGTCAGTTCCCTGAGGGAGTCAAAGTCTGCTTTTCTGAAGTCCAGGGTCCGTATTCTGCTGCTCTCCTTTCTTCCTTGTGTCAGGATCCAAACTCAACCATCTCATGGTCACTGCCTCCCAGGTTCCCATCCACTTTTGCTTCCCCTACTAATTCTTCCCTGTTTGTGAGCAGCAGGTCTAGAAGAGCTCTGCCCCTAGTTGGTTCCTCCAGCACCTGCACCAGGAAATTGTCCCCTACACTTTCCAAAAACTTCCTGGATTGTCTGTGCACCTCTGTATTGCTCTCCCAGAAGATATCAGGGTGATTAAAGTCTCCCATGAGAACCAGGGCCTGCGATCTAGTAACTTCTGCTAGTTGCCAGAAGAAAGCCTCGTCCACCTCATCCCCCTGATCTGGTGGTCTATAGCAGACTCCCACCACGACATCACCCTTGTTGCTCACACTTCTAAACTTAATCCAGAGACTCTCAGGTTTTTCTGCAGTTTCATACTGGAGCTCTGAGCAGTCATACTCCTCTCTTACATACAATGCAACTCCCCACCTTTTCTGCCCTGCCTGTCCTTCCTGAACAGTTTATAGCCATCCATGACAGTACTCCAGTCATGTGAGTTATCCCACCAAGTCTCTGTTATTCCAATCACATCATAGTTCCTTGACTGTGCCAGGACTTCCAGTTCTCCCTGCTTGTTTCCCAGGCTTCTTGCATTTGTATAAAGGTACTTAAGATAACTCGCTGATTGTCCCTTTTCTCAGTCTGAGACAGGAGTCCTCCCTTCTTGCACTCTCCTGCTCGTGCTTCCTCCCAGTATCCCAGTTCCCCACTTACCTCAGGGCTTTGGTCTCCTTCCCCCGGTGAACCTAGTTTAAAGCCCTCCTAGGTTCACCGGGCTTCACTAGATATATCCTCCCAGTTTGAAATCAAACTATTGATAACTACTCTGAGTACATTTTTTCAACCAGCTGTGCACCCACCTTATAGTAATGTCATCTAGAACACATTTTCCTTGTTTGCTTATGAGAACATCATGTGGGACTGTGTCAAAAGCCTTACTAAAATCAAGATATATCACATCTGCTTCTCCCTTATCCACTAGCCCAAGAATGAAGGAAATTAGATTTGTCTGCCATGATTTATTCTTGATACATTCATGCTGGGCTATTACTTATCCTCTAGGTGCTTAGAAATTGACTATTTAATAATTTGTTCCAGTATCTTTCCATGTATCGAAGTTAAGCTGAATGGTTTATCATTCCCTGGCTCCTCCTTGTTCCTCTTTCTAAAGGTAGATACTGTGTTTGCCCTTCTCCACATCCTCCAGAAGTTCTTGAAGATAATCACTAATGGTTCTGAGATTACTTCAGCTAGTTTTTTAAGTACACTCAACTGGTAAATCTCATCAGATACTGCTGATTTGAATATATCTAACTTATCTAAATATTTCAACCTGTTCTTTCCCTAGTCTGACTTGTGTTCCTTCCCCCTTGTTAATATTAATTGTATTAAGTATCTGGTCACAATTAACCTTTTTAGTGAAGACTGAAGTAAAATAAGCATTAAATATCTCAGACTTCTTGATGTCATCCGTTATTAGCTCACCTTCCTGCTAAGTAATGGACCTACAAATTCCTTCATTTTTTTCTTGCTCCTAATATATTTATTATAGAACCTCTCCTTATTACCTTGTATATCCATTGCTAGACATAACTCATTTTGTGCCTTAGCCTTTAAGATTTTGTTCCTACATGCATGTGATTTTTTTTTCTACTTATCCTTCGTATCTGTCCATATTTCTACATTCTGTGGGATTCCTTTTCTGATTTTCAAGTTCTTAAATAGCTCCTGTTGGAGCCATATTGGCCTCTTACTATTCTTCCTATATTTCCTTCGCACCAGGATAGTTTTCTGTTGTGCTTTTAATATTGCCTCTTTGAGAAACTGCCAGCTTTTCTGAACACCTTTATCCCTTAGATTTTCTTCCTGTGGGACCTTACCTACCAGTTCTGAATTTGTTCAAGTCTGTTTTGAAGTCCATTATCCCTATTCTGGTGCTCTCACTCCTTCCTTAGGGCTGGTTCACACTACCCGCCCAATTCGGCGGGTAGAGATCGATCTTCTGGGATCGATTTATCGCGTCTGATCTGGACGCGATAGATCGATCCCAGAAGCGCTCCCCCGTCGACTGCGGAACTCCTGCTCACCGAGAGGAGGAAGCGCTGTCGACGGGGGAGCCTGCCTCCGCCGCATGGACCCGCAGTAAGTAAATTTAGTTCGATCTAGGAAACATCGACTTCAGCTACGCTATTCTCATAGCTGAAGTTGCGTTTCCTAGATCGATCCCCCGCCCCAGTGTGGACCTGCCCTTAGAATCATGAAACCTGTCATTTCATTATTACTTTCACCCACATTCCCTTCCACCTTCAGATTCACAACCAATTCCTCCCTATTAGTCAGAATCAAATCTAAAATGGCTGTTCGCTGCTCACTTCTTCCACTTTCTGAAACAAGAACCTGTCCCCAATATAGTCCAAGAACTTAATGTGTTTTGCCAGATTATTTTTCCAACAGACACCAGGAGAGTTAAAGTCCTCCATTACTACCAGGTCTTGTTTTGGATATTTCTGTTATTTATTCTGTTATACCTGAATGGAGCAGACATCTTACAGCATCTACACACCCTGCCCAGTTCTTCACAGAATGGAAATGTATAAGTACTTACTTCAGTTTCTGCAGTTTGCAGTTTGGGTTTTTCAGTCCCGCACATAGCAGCCTAGTTCCTGGGTCTCTGAGGTGGTTAAACGCCAGGTCCAACTGTGTCAGGGTCTGCTTGGTACTGAGAAGAGAGGAGAGATCCTCACAACAAGTGACTGTGAGAGAGCATCCAGTAAATCTGCAGGAGACAGAAACAGAAGGAAATGAGCACTTCTGTTTGTGCAGTTCCCTCAGTGGGTACCACTGGGTTTCTAGAAAGATTCTATTCTGGGAATAAAATCACAGTGGTGTAATAGTGGATGCTGAGGGCCACATGACCATGTGTGAATTTCAATCCATATGCATGTGTAGCTCTCATTGATTCTGTCTTCCATATATACATGTCATTCTAAGGCAAAGAGCCCACACTCCAGTTTGGCTTACCCTAATGAAGAAACTTCTTATAAATTAGGAGTTAAAAGAAAAGGAAGGAAAGGAATCTCATTGGTAAATAATGAAAATGCTGCTGCATTGGAAGTTGTATGATAGTTTTATGGATGGGGAAACCTGTTCTTCTCCCTTTTTGCCTCATTTCCACTTAAGACTCAGTAAATAAGCCACTGTCTATAGATTACTTAGTATTGCACCATCAGGATTCAGGAATGGGCTCAGTTTTGGCAAGTTTCCATTCCCTCCTTCCTCTCCCCTTTTCCCCAGGATTCACTATACACTAGAAAAGTTTGGAATTCCTTAGGGAGCCCAGGCTCAAAGGTGGACCACAGTGGAATTGTTACAATCTTTCCCTGCTGCAGCTCACCTGGTGGCAGGCTGCCTGCCAGTGCCAATGACCACTGCTCTTAGTAAAATGCCAACAGCTGTTGTTACCAGTAGTGCAGTGATGGGACATTTTAACAGAGACCTCAGTGACCTGTGGGATTAGATGTTTGAAGAAAAAATCTGGTGTGTTGGGTTATCATCAAATAATATGGAAGCCTGTGGCTGGGGGAGAGTGCTAACCATGTACTAAACAGATGATTTGATGGTACAATGAGATCCACAAACTAATTTCTGTAGGGAATTCATATGCTTCCTTCTTTGCGGGACTAGATTTTCTTTTTTTCTTTTCCAGAGTGGAATTATATTGGACCATTGGGTCCTGGATACAGAAAAAGAAAATTCCATTCAATTCCCCTCTAGGCTGATCTCCCACATCCATTCCTCAGTCTTTCAGTCCTTTGACTCTGTTGTCCATGCCTTTGTCTCCATCTCTCTTGTTAGCCAAAACGTACATGTTAGGCCTAGGATACACCACATTAGTTCTCCTTGGGCTGCCACCTTGATGTGGTGGAGAAGCTTGCATATGCTTAAGACCCTAAGAGCGATGCCATCGGGAATTCTGCACTCCTGGTAGGGTCACCCATGGTGGTAAGGTCAAAGGCGAGGTACCAGACAAAGCGCAGCCCAACACAACCCAGTATAAAACCTCAACAGCAGAGCAGGCAGATTAAGCAGGATTACCTCTCAACAGCTGCGAAGGTGGATGAAGGCTGCAAGGAAGGAGAAACTCCCAGTCATCTCAGACTCCTTGCCACCATACACAGGTGCCACTTCTGCCAAGATTTGTGTGGCTGCTGCTGTCCAACAGCTCCCCCACATTAAACTACTCCCATACAGACTTCTTTCACAGGAAGAACTTTCTCTCCACCCCCACCCATAAAAGTCCTGCGGCGATGGGCAACTGACGATGGGGATAGGTGAAGTGATCACCAGAAGTCCCTAGTCACAGACCCACACACAGGCGGTGAGGGCAAGATGGTCGTCACGTGTCCCTGGACTGGGATGAGGGGCATTTTTGGCAGCAGTGGTCATGACTGAGCAGGCATTTTTAGGAACCCCTCTGCTCACCCTATATGGGGAAGTGGCTAGAAAAGGTGCCCCAAACATAGGCTATCCCACAATACCCAACTGGGTAACCGCATGCAGAGGGATCACTCCCAATGTGGTCGAAAAATAATATTTCTTGCAACTTGGAATGTCCATACCCTAGTAGATTAATCAAAAAGTGAAAGACCCAAATGCAGAACAGCAATTGTTACCCGAGAACTCCCGAGGTACAACATCGACATTGCTGCTTGCAGCCAGACAAGACAGGCAGATGAAGGCCACTTGAGGGAAGAGGGTGGTGGTTACACTTTCTTCAGCAAGCAACAGACAAATACATGGTGTTACCTTCTAGTCAACTGCCTGACTGAGCTCCCCATTGGCATCAACGAGCGCCTTATGACCCTCCGCATCTAACTGGTCAATAAGTCATTTACCATCATCATCATCAGTGCATATGCGCCAACACTTGACACTGAAAAACAGAAAAAATCCTTCTACACTGACCTTAATAAAATGCTATCATCCACTCCAAAAACAGATAAGATAATCCTCTTGGGGACTTTAATGCCAAGTTGGCCAAGATTCTAATGTATGGAGTAACACTAGTAGGAAGGAAGGAGTGAAAAAAACCAATTCCAATGGCATCCTTCTACTCAGGAAATGCAGAGTACAAACATGTCATCACAAAACACAATCATCAGACAAAGCAACAAGTACAAAACAACTTGGCAACACCTCCGTTCAAAACAGTGGCACCTCCTAAACTATGTCATTGTAACAACATAGGGTCCAAGAGATGTCCATATCACCCATGTCATGAGAGGAGCCAACGATTGCTATACTTAACTGACCTCACCAGGCAGTGGTATGTCCATTAGGATTGCACCAAAATATAGAAAGCAATCCAGATCACACAGATGGCAACACAACATCCAAAGACTTCTATCCTCAGTGCAACAGGACAACTTCCAAGCACTCCTCAGTGAAAAACTGACCATATGTACACCTGGAAATGACAACACAAATGCCGAAGAAGACTGGGAAGCTCTAAAACTGACCATCCATGAGGCTTGTGAGGAATCCATTGGCCTTGCTATCCGCCACCATCAGGACTGATTTGATGACAATAACACTGAGATCACAGCCCTTTTGGACCAGAAGAGAAAAGCTTTCTGTGACGGGGAAAACCAACCATCATCCAGTCAGAAGCAGAGCTCTTTCCATCAGCTCAAAGCTGAGGTTCAAAGGAGGATCTGAGAAATCAAAAACAACTGTTGGGAGGACAAAACAAAAGGAATCCAAGCATTCACTAACAGACATGATATGTTGTACTTTTTTTGTGAGACAAAGACCCTGTATAGCTCAAGCTCATGTGGCCTCACACTGCTGAGATCCTAAATGGTAATCTCTTCTTAAAGATAATGAATCCATCAAAAACTGCTGGAAGGAACACTACCAAAAGCTCCTAAATCGAGAATCCACTGTGACTGATGATACCATTGACTCCATCCCTTAGCACCCAATCTGGGAAACTCTTGCCAACCCACCAACACCTGAGGAGGTCTGCAAATCAATTAAGCAAATGAAGAACAATAAAGCATCAGGTCCTGATGGAAAACCAGCTGAAGTACTGAAAGTGTGGAGAGAAACACTGACTAAGAAGCTTCATTTGCTGCCTCTCAAAAACTGGCACACTGACGAAATCCCTGCTGACTTATGTAATGCTAACATCGTCACCATTTTCAAAAAATTAGATAGGGACGACTCAACTATTGAGGCATTGCCCTCGTCTGCATTGATGGGAAGATTCTTGATATAATCTTACTGAATCACCTGCTCCCTCTTGCAGAGGAAGTACTTCCAGAGTCCCGGTGCGGCTTCCGACCATCATGAGGCACCACTGACATGATTTTCACAGCCAGGCAGATCCAGGAACAATGTCAAGAACACCACCAGGAGCTGTATATGGCATTTATTGATCTAAACAAAACCTTCGACTCTGTCAACTGTGAGGCTCTGTGGAAAATCATGTCAAAGTTTGGTTGCCCAAGCAAATTTATCACTGTTGTAAGACTCCTCCACAACCAGATGACTGCCTCCATCCTGTGCAGTGGCTCTACCTCTGAGCTCTTTGTCATCCGAACTGGTGTAAAACAAGGTTGTTTACTAGCATCCACCCTTTTCTCCATTTTCTTAGCAGGTATGAAAACATTAACCCAAGTCCATCTACCACAGGGCATTGGCATCCAATATCAGACTGACAGCAACCTCTTCAATCTTTCTAGTCTCTGTGCCAGAACTAAAGTAATATTGGAAACAATAACCAAACTCCAGTACGCAGATGATTGTGCTGTAGTTGCACACTCAAAGAAGGATCTACAAACAGCCCTTAATTGCTTCTCTGAAGCTTTCAAAAGCCTAGAGCCAACTCTGAACATTGGCAAAACCAAAGTTCTCCCCCAGCCAGTTCCCGGTCAATCATCAGACCCAGCAAGGAAGATCTACATTGGACAGAGAAGAACTGTCTTGGCAGCCATCTCTCACAGAGGGCAGACATAGATGTCTAGCTTCAGCACAGAATCAGCTGTGCCAGCCTTGCCTTTGGCAGACTGTCTTGCCGGGTGTTCAACAACTACGTCATCAGAACACATACTAGACTTTTAGTTTATAAAGCGGGGGTAAACCCGACCCTCCTCTACGGCTGTGAGACTTGGGTGACCTATAAAAAACACCTGAAAAACCTGGAACACCAGCACCAGCACTTTCGTCAGAAGATCCTCAATATAAAGTGGGAGGATCGCCACACTAATGGCAGTGTCCTCACAGAGGCCAACATCTTCAGTGTTGAGGCCCTGATTATCCAGCACCAGCTGAGGTGGAGCAGGCACTGTGTTTGCATGCCTGATGTACACTTACCAAAATAATTGCTGTATGCCCAACTCAAAGGAGAAAAGAAATGGAGAGGCCAAAAAAACCCACTTTAAAGACACCCTGAAGATAAATATCAAGAGATGTGGCATTGATACCACACACTGGGAGAAAGTACCCCAGGATAGGAATAACTAGTGAAGACTTGTCAGAGAGAGAGAGAACATCCACTTTTGAGGAAAATCGCCTTGCTCCGGTCACAGAAAAATGCCAGAAAAAGGACAGAGAGCTCACACAGGAATCGTGGCCCAACCCTGACTTCCAACACCACCTGCAACATCTGCCAACGAGTCTGCAGCTCAAGGATCAGACTCCTCAGTCACCAAAGGACCCATAAACAATAAAACCTGTGAAAGATCGACCTTGAGGGATCGCCACTGCTGCTGAAACCACATTAATATTGTATGTATATTTTATATCTTTCCCACAATTTTGTTCACTTTTGCTCACTTATGTCAATATATATATATATATAGCACAATACTCTACAAAGCAAAACATGGCTTTTTGCATTAGCAAATATATAACTTATCAAAGTCACTATACATCCATTGTACATCCTATTGGGTAGTGCCTTCGTAGCTCTTGTAATGTAGTATTCAAAAGAAAGAGAAAGATACACCATGATACAGGAAGAAAAGGTAAAAAGCTGACTGGTGAATTCTAGTCCTGGGTGACATCATCAATGTTTTCTAACTTGTAACTAAGCATGCTGTGCTATCTTGGGTGCATATTTTTGAAGCACACCTTTTGTGTAAAGAGAACAGGCTGTGAGATTAATTCTCAGAAGGAGTGGTATGCATGCCTCCTTTTCATATTGTATTGCTTTGTCTTTTATTAATAAATTTGACTAAGCTTGGTTATTTGGTACAGCTAATATTTATGGAACAGTGTATTTATATTAAAAATATGCTTTATGGACTTGCAGTAAAAATTAGTCACCAGGGTGTCAGTGATGACCCATTCCAGCAAGAGCGATCTGTCACTCCTTCCTAGCCAGCCTGTGGGGTAATGCAAGGCTCTGTGGACTACCCTTGTCACATCCTAGATCAGGCAATGGAAAACCATCAGACGATTGAAAACAATTAAAACCATTTGGAGGTGAAAAGGAACATTACAGCAGGTAGGGGGTCATCTTGGCTATGAATACAGCAAATGACTGTTTTCAATATATCAGTGTAGGGAAAGGCACTCTGTATTCATTCACTGAGGAAACCTCTTGAGGAGAGGGGGAGGGGGACTGTCCTGAATGTTTGCATCCTGGTTTTTATGACACCAGCCAGCTCTGAAACAGATTGAATTTTGTGGGGAAAACCTACTTTGTTATATAGGAAAGGTAATTATCGACAACTGTAGTCCCAGTTTCAGGTTTAATGATTTTGTATTGTAACCAGTTGTTTCCATGACTTTCTCTCATTTCTAGATAAATCTTTATTCTTTCTTAAATAAACCTACTTTTGTTTTATTACAAGAGTGCACAAGTGCTGTGTGGTTTACAGGAGTGGTGATTGAAAGTAAAACTGGTAAACTGGGGTACACTGCACCTTTGGGTGCAGAGGATCTGGTACTTCTGTGGCTGGCCAATGTCAGGAGCCAGAAGGGAATGATTCAAAGGGACCTGGTGATGCAGGTTTCTCTCTTGTTAACCTGCAAGGCAAAGCTGGGGCTGGTATGAGCCCAGATGAGAGTGCTTGAGTGAGTGAAGAGCTGTTGGTGTCAGGAAACTGATGGCCAGCTATTACAAGAAAGACTCCTCTCGCTGGAGGCAGGGGGTAAGGAGGTGACTCCTAGTCCTGGGTGCCCTGAGAACTGTCACAGTGGGACAGAAAGAGAGGAAAAAAAACACAAATTCCTCCTCCTCCCAAAACCCCACCTTTGAATTAGTGAGAAATGAGATAAAATGAGGATACAATGATGTTAAACAAAGAGACAGGTACAGGTCTTAGACACCATGGTGACAGGCACCTTAGAAATACCTACCATTAAAATACCTAAAATCTTCTCTCCAGACTCCTGAGTCTTTTCTGACCTCAAGCAACCTCTCCCCCCACCAGCCAGATTACTTAGCTTTGTCTCTCCTGCTCACCTGTTGCTCTTGGAATTGGGTAGATGTCTTTGAACCACTAGGTTGACATATAAACTAACCCCACATATATTCCAGCAAATACTCAGCTGGTGTAACTTGACTTCAATGGAGCGATGAGAATTTATACCAACTGAGAATCTGCCCCATTGACTGGACATTTAAATAAACTCCTAACTGGCAGTGGTGAAGATCTGCATGGCTGTAGAATTTCTGAGATAACAGCAGTAAAAAGGGGATGTTAAAAAAGGAAGGCATAATTTCTTACTTTAGTGTCTTTAATTTACAGTTTGGATCCTCCAATGCTTGACAGAGCAGGTAAATAGGTGAATGATGTGGCTTATCCTGATGCTGTGCCCTGAAAAGAGAGATTAGACATTTTCTATTCTGTTCTCTGCAGACAAATTTTAATTCTATTTCATGGACATTAAAATAGGCTCTTGCATGGTGTGATCATACATGACATACAAGTTATTCTGCCATTTCAATTCATTACATTCATACCTAAATCCTCCAGACCAAAAATATATCAAGAACATTATGATGTACTCTAAATACACAGAGTAAAATAGTAGAACCTACTCTAAGTACAACCTATTCATTTTTTGAATGTGTGGTACTCTGAGCATTCACTTTGCAGTTCTAAGAACTCACACCAGTGGGAACGTCTCCAGTGGTTTTATGCTTTTGTTTTGGTCAATGACTTTTTTTTTAAATCAGTTCTGGAGCTACAATAGCTCAACTCACGAAAATACAATATTGAGGGGTGTGGTTGTCATGCCCCTCTTTCTTTTCATTGCTCATTTAGACTATTGTCAATCTGAATAACAAGCTCTACAAAGACTCCGTTGGGGTCTCAACTTGGGCCAGATAATCCTTGACCTCATCCTCCAAGCCCCATCAAAACTGAAATAACTGGGCTGCCTCATTCCATTCTGTGTCCATATGACAGGGTGTACCAGATGAACCCAGCAGAGTCCCCTGTACCCCAAGTGGCATTCAGCACTGCACAAGCAGGTTAGAGCTGAGGACAAATGGAAAACTGTCTTTCAAACTCACTAGTCACTACAAGTATCTTGTGATGCCCTTTGGTTTGACAAACATGCCAGCAATATTCCAGCATTTTATTATTGACATTCTTTGGGACACTCTGGACCAATACATGGTAGCATACCTGGATAACATATTTTCAGACAAAGCTGAACAACACACATGGATGGATGTCCGTTCCATCCTGAAGAGGCTACACTAACATGGTCTCTGTGCTAAGCTAGAAAAAATGCACCTTTGATCAGTCCTCCATAGAATTCTTCAGCTTCATCCTATGTCTCACTGGTATCAAAGCAGACCCACACTAGGTAAAGGCAGTCCTCAAGTAGATATCGCCATGGAACATTTGTGAACTACAACATTTCTTATGGCTCTGCTCCACAAAAATACTAGGTTCCTCTGGTCACCTGAAGTCCAACATGCTTTCAAGCAAATAAAAGTCACGTTTATCACCAATTCCCTATTGGTTCATCCTGACACCATGCAAGCCTTCATCATCGAAGTGGACACTTCCAACTTGGTGATAGGAGTGGTGCTATCCCAAAGTCACAATCCTCAACATTTGCTACATCCATGGGCTTTTTACTCCAGGAAACTCACACCCACAGAGCAAAATTACAACATTTTAGACAAAGAACTGCTGGCAATTAAGACTGCCTTTGAGGAGTGGTGCCAGTATCCAGAAGGGGCCCCATACCTTGTCCAGGTGTATACCAATCTTAAGAACCTAGTATATCTGCATAGGCCCAGCATTCTCAACCAGCAACAACTTAGGTAGGCCTTATTCTTTGTGTGATTTGATTTCCTAATCATCCAGGAACCAAAAAGAACAAGCTTGATGCTCTGTCCCAGAAGGGAGAAAATTAATGCTGACCTGAAGGACTCAAACCCTAAAACCTCTGCCATCCTCAAGCCTCAAAAGTTTATGGGCACAGATCCCCACCGAGGCCTGCTCACCCTCATAGTCAGTTTCAGCCCATGGGATCCCTCCCAATGAGCAGAAGCCTTAAGTAGAAAACCCCCCATGATGTCCAAGACAGTGTACCTACATGAAAGGGAGTATATTTGTTCCCCTCCCCTGGCCTCCAAGGACTATAACCCTACAAGTATGTCATGACTCCCCAATGACAGGACATTTTGGCCACTTTAAAACTCAGTGCCCAGTCTCCTCTTTTCTGGTGGCCTTGCATGCAGGCCACAGAGTGCAGGTCTGTGTGGCCTTTTGCAATGTATTCACCCACTCCAAGGTACTGCACAATAAATTCTTCAGACTCCTGCAACCCCTCGAGACTCCACCCAGCCTCTGAGAAGTTACCACCCTTGATTTTGTAGTAGAATTACCTGAGTTCAATGGATTCAAGACCATTTAGACAGTAGTGAACCATGTCACAAAGACGGCACACTTCATCACCTGCACTGGCTCACCCTCCTCCCAGGAAACTGCCTGGCTCTGGGTGGATGTGACAGGGTGCTGGGCAAAGGGTTGCAGATTCAGCCCTCTGTCATACCCGCTCCTCATTAGGGGAACAGATTAGAGTGGGCTGGAGATAACCTGGCCCTAATTGGGGAAGCGGAGACAGCTGCTACCTAATTAGCCTGGGGCTGCATAAAAGCCTATGGGGAAGGAAGCCAAGTGGGAGCAGGAAGAAAGGGAAAAGGCAGGGAGTGGAAGCAGGGAGGTAGCTTTCCCCTCCTGCCTGCAGGCAGTGCATGGTTAATTGTACATGGTGAAATAGAGGTGGAACAAGCCTGAGAATAAAGTGCACTAGTGGTTACTAAATCCTGGGTCTCAGAGTGACTTTGTGGACCTACCTGAGGCAGAAGCCAAGGGGGCCCTGCCACACACTGCTACAGTGAATCCAGTCATCCACCTCCATGTCCTCCTGGAGCACATCATCTCTGACTGCAGTGTGTAATTTATCTCCCTCTTCCAGCGAAAAGGTCTCTGGATTTTTGGATATCTGCTTCTGTCTCTCCTTCATCTATCACCCTCAGACAAAACGTCAAATGGAGAGAACCAACCAGGTCCTGGAACAATATCTTCAATGCTACGTAAAATTCCACCAGCACAACTGGTCTTTGCTGCTACCTCAGGCAGAGTACATATACAAAAATGCAGAACATGCCTCTATGGGGCAAAGCCCCTATTTTTTGGGCTATGGGTTCCACCCCCGGTTCTATCTGAGCTATCCAAAACGTCCCACAACCCAGCAGCCCTGGACTGTATACAACAGTTATGCCAAACTCAAGAAGACCTAAAAGTTCACCTGGAAAATGCCAAGAAGAGCTAAAAACAATGTGCTGTCTGTCAATGCCAGAATGGGCCCATCCTTTTGGTAAGCCAGAGGGTATGGCTCTCAATGAAACATCTATACACAGACAGGTCATTTTATCATTGGACTACCGGTTCCTTGGCCCCTCCAAATTCACTGGCAAATAAACCCAATCATCTTTCAATCAGCTTAACCTGTTCCCGCCACATATACCTAGTTTTCCAAATATCTCTCCTGAAATCCACATTAAGGAGCCATTCCCTCACTGCTCCCAACCACCACCAACCACCCCATTGGTACATGTTTGAGATCACAAAGTATATCATCCGTGAGAACTCTGATGTCAGATCAGATGGGGTAGACTCTGATATCTCGTCAATTGGGAAGGATATGGTCCTGAAGAGTTGTCCTCTGTTCACACCCCTGACCTGGTAAACACCTTCATAAAAACCACCCTGGAAAACCCAGTCCACTACTGCCTGGAGTGGGGCACCCTAGGGGACTGGGCGATGTGAGGGTTTGTGACTCTCAAACCCAAGTCCTCAGATCCCAGAAACTGTTCAGATCATGGCAACCACCCAGCAGATTACCAGAACCTGAGGACAAGGGGGCTAGAGGAGCTCTAGTTCACTAAGAGGTCTGCCAACAAAGCCCCTGATTGGAGAAGACATCTGGCCCCACTGAGTGGATTGGATGCACTACATAAGACAGAAGGAGGCACAGGAAATTGTCCGGGCAAATAGGTGGATCCCTGTCGGGCTGCCACATCATAGCATGCCTACGCGCCTGACTCCTTAGCCCTGTCTTCCTGCCTCCCAGCCTTGTCCTGGTTCCTGCCCTCTTTAGCCCAGATCCTCCTCCGCTTCCATTTCCTGCCTCATTCCAAGTCCCTGCTCCTCCACCCTATCCCTGACTCTAGCTCTGGCTTTGACTCTTGGCTCATTCCCTGACTGCAACTCTGACCCCTGGCTCCTAACTCTGACCACTAGGCCTGGTCTCAAGTTGGAAACCAGCCAGCCACAGTCTCTTCATCTCTCATTCCCTCCAGCTCCACACTCTAGCACTCCATAGGGTTTTGCACTGGAGTGTAAGTGTGATGAAACTGGGGTACATATTTCTTTTGGTAGATGTTGGAGCTGAAGGTGAAAACCAAATGGAGCACTGGAGTATGTTATTGACAGTGTTTAGGGAACAAGAAGGTGGAAAGGCGTGCACAAGTCTTTCTCCTTAACTTCTTATTTCCATGCTTTTAAGGTTTAGGCTGGATGGAGCATGGTCCTGCCCAGTCTTAGATGTCTGTCACTAAATTAAGTCATTTTTATGGTGGGGCATTCAGACATTTGTGAGCTATGACAACCCTGGGGGAGAAAATCATGTATGTTTTGCTCCTTAAATTACATAAGTGTTTTTGGAGCTCAGACAACACTTACCAACGTGACCACTTGGATGGTGCTGGGGAATCTTCATTCAGGTCTTCAATTTGAAATGTACACTTGTTTAGACAAAGTGACTCCAGTTTACAGCAATTCTTTATACAGAATGAAAGAACAATTTGATCCATTTTGGTAAAGTTATGGTAAGTTAATTTTAGCTCAGTGAAATGATTCATAGCACTCCTTACAAATTTTTTTTCTTGAATTTCAAACAAACAGTGAAATGCCTCAAGTTGGAAAAATCTCTCAATCACCCATTTAGCAAAGTTTGTTTTTACCCACTTTAGTAAAATTGGTTTAAATAGGGGTGAAATTTTGCAGCTCAGTTTTTTTTCCATGTCCTTCATTCTCTCTTCATTTAAAAAACCAAACAGGAATCTCACTATTAATGAATAATTTCCAGATTTTTCATAATTTTCTAACAAATTTTTCACATGGTATATAGCAGTTTCTGGATCTTCCACTGTTTCTTCTTTCTCCAATACATAAAACAAAGATGCAAAAAACTCTTGAAAACTCAAGTGAATGAAGCTGTAGACACATTCACAGTCAATGTCTTTTTGAAACATGTTCTCATTCAGAAAGAGGGAATCAGGTTTATCTAAGCCATGTTTCTTGATATCTTCTTCCTCAAACAGTATTTTCTGCCTCCAGAGTCCATCTGCAGCCAAGGAGCAAAGTCCCTTCAAGTTACCATGTACCTGTTGCTTTGAAATGCTGATGTGACCCTTTAATAAACTGAAGAGATAGAGCATGTACACTCCAGTGATTGTACTGGAAGTTTGTGCAAGATCTTCACCTGCTTCCATCTGTTGTTTCAGAACAGTGCAGATGATCCAACACACACTAGGAATAAAGCACATGGTGAACAGCATTTCACGCTCTTTTACAAAGTTAAAGGATTTTCTTGCTTTTTCTTCATTCCCAAAGAACTTGTAGAAATATTCTTTTCTCTCAACTTCAGAAAATCCTAATATCTCCGCATAGCGTGCACATTCCAAACACTGCCAGAGATTCTCCAGAGCAACTGGTCTTGTTGTAATTAGTAAGTAAGATTTATGAAGCACTTTTTTCCTAAATAAACTGCTCAGTATGATTTCCACTGGCTGCTTCTCACAGGGATCAGAGCACAGATTACTTTCTGGTTGATTAAAGGAAAATCTCAGTTCATCAAAGCCATCAATTATGAACAGGAGTTTTTCTGGAGTCATCAGAATCTCTTTAGTTGGTGTATTTTTATCAGGACAATTCTTTAAGATCAAATCTTCAACACTTCCCTGCTCACTGACAAAGTTAATTTCCCTACAATTTATGTAGAAAACATAATCAAACCTGCTCTGATACAGTTCTTCATTTGCCCAGTCCAACATGATCTTTTTTGCTGTCAGTGTTTTTCCAATCCCTGCAGCTCCCTGCAGCACCACAATTTGTGGTAATTGTCCATTTCCATCAGTTTCAAATAAATCACCTATGGTGATAGGACTAGCGTGCTCAGTCATGATTTCTGCATGTTTCCGTCCCCAGGCCATTATTTCATTTTCTCTCTGTTTTTTGTGACGATGTTCATTTACAATGATCAGCTTTGTGTATCTGCTGTTTAGCTTCACATTCTCACCAAGACGAGAGTTCATGTCTTTTATTGCGCTGTATTTGTTTTTTATATGTTCTCTGTACTTCACCCTGTAAGCTAAGTTAGTGACAAGGAGCATTAGATATGATTATAATGTTACAATAATGCTATTTAAACAATAATACTGTTACTCTAAGTTTATAGTGCACCTATCATCATAAAGTGTCCCCACATAAATTAACTATGGTCTCAGTCCTTACTCACATCAGTGATCCCACTGAAATTAGTCATATGAGAAAAAAAGCGTAGGCTCGGGCCTTCTATGCATATATATATAAAGAATCATTTTATCAGTAACTGAAATGCAGCCACCTCTAGGGTGAAACCTGCCAGGTGTTTAACAGTGCACAATGGTACTCTACATCAAAGTGGGGCATGAAGCGATGGAGAATGACAGATATAACTGAAACAGTAATGGGAATTTAGGTGCAAAGAATATAACTAAAGTATAACCTAACATTTTTCCAGGGCCCAGAGGTTTAAAAAAGTGCCATAGCACCTTCAGTGACCACAAATGTTGACCTCTAGTTATTTTACCTCATTTAAAAGATGTCATCCCTAGCAGGAGAGTGTCTTCCAGTATCATGCTGCTGCACTGGGTCAGTACTGCCTGAGACAAGAGCTCCACCTCCTCACCAGCACCATGTTCTGCAGCACCTGATTCTTTCCTGGAGATCTCCCCATTCATTTCCTCATCTCCCATCCAACCCTGCTTAACATGTGTGATGTGATTGGACGACACTCTGAGGTGTTACTTATTATTTCTACTAGTAAACCAAATGTCTGGCTGATCTAACCTAATGCTGGTAATCACTGGTATTTATGCAACACAATTCTTTGTTAGAATGTCACATACCATTTGCTGATCTTTCAGCTGTTTGCTGAGGACCCAAAGCTGAAAGAGAAATTTCACATGAATGTCAGTGTAACAACAATCACAGTGTGTCACACAGTTCATGGCATTAGGACAAGTCATTTATTCAGGGCTCTCTGCAGTAATGAGCTCCCTAGAAAACCCATGGCTGAGGCAGGCAGAGAGAATTTCTTTGGAGACACTAGTTCAGTGACATCTGTAAATAATGGCCACCACAAGGAATACTCATTTTTACCATTATTGTAGTCACTTAGGATCAGATTGTCAAAACACTTCAGCACACACAACTGGGACCAGATTTTCTGATGAGCTCAGCATAGGACACTTTTCTGGCCCTAATTTAGGTGCATAAATGGGAGCTGAGCAGTTTTGAAAATCTGGCCTCACATCCATGCCTGTCTCACTGCCCTCTCTTTTATATACTTTATATCTAACATGTAATGCACAAAATTCATTACACACATTAAAGTGCTGTAGATAAACTCAGCATTTGTGACACCAGTCACCTGTTTGGAAGCTGTTCCACATTTGCTTTATGACTGTTTGCTGTTGAACTAAAACTCTTAAGTCACACTATGAACGACTGTCAGGAGAAGCCACCCCTCCCCTAACTCAGCACTTCCTCCACTTGCTTCCCTGCAGTAATTGAAAACATCCTTCCAGCTCTGCGTGCCCCCAGCACTTAGAGAACCTGAGGCAGAGCCAGCCCCTTTCCCTCCACACTACCTTCCCCACCAAACATCCCTGGTCTAACAGGTCCCACATGGCACCTGACCAATAAATTCCTACAACAGCTTCTGGTCTCTTCTCTTCCTGCTGCTGCTGTCCCTCCTCCCAGGTCAACACCATCACTGCCCCCTCCATCTGACTTGGATCCCCTTCTCCACTCCCACCATACAGCCCTCTCCTTTGCAGGCTTCAGGGGTTCAGCACCTCCTGCTGCCATCTGTCCCCTTTCCAACTGGGATATCAGAACAGAGCCCTGCTCTTTTATAGGAGGGGTATGTGGCAAAAACTCACCCACGAGTAGAGCCCTGTGTGGATATAAAATTTGTATCCGCATCCGATCTGCAATCCACAAAAATGGTCTGTGGGTATCCGCATCCATGTATGCAGATATCTGAAGATATAAAGTGGATATCCAGGGATTTGCAGGGCTCTACCCATGGGCCAAATTGTACTCTGTTAAAAGCAGTTTAAATCAAGAGTAACTCCATTACTTTCAGAGGATTTACATCACTGTATCTGACTAGAAATAATTTGGCTAGCATTTCTCCACATGGGTTTTTACTTCTGCAGTCTGGTCTGTGCAAATACCTCGGCCAGCAGAGCATTTTCCCCTTAACATTTAAGGCCAACATTGATAATCAAAAGTAGTGTACTGTTTCTAGATGCTGTATCCTTTACTTTCAAAGATGATTTCTTTAGATCAAAGCACGCACAAGAACAAGCCAACTTTTAAGTTTTAACTTGACATAGCAGAACCCAGAAAAGCATCATGAAGGTAACATGTAAAAGAAAAAAAAAAAGTGTGTGACCTTCTTGTTTCTTTATGATATAGAAAAGGCCTGAAACAACTAAAAGTATATTTTATCTTAGAACGATTAAGAATATCAACCCTCTCTTTCCTATTTTTGTTGCATCTCCTTGGAAGACCAAAAAAGCAATGGAAGTTTTTAAAGTCCATGAAGGGTGAAAGATTTTTAATCTTTAAGACAAATAACATTTTTTCCCACATATTTGCTAAGAGTTCAAGTTTTAACAAACCAAAACAAGAAAACCCATGTTTTAAGTTTAGAGTAGCAATTTCTCAACCCCTTAAACAATTGCTTCTTTGAACAGCAAGTTTTAGAGCACACAAGAGTAGTGGCTGTTGCTGATTTCATTAAAGATATGAAACTATTGTGTGAGCAGAGAAATATGAGACTCCAAGTGTTTAAGCAGATAATAGGAAATCATTTTCTCTAGTTAAAAAGTGCCCCTGTTACTAAGTTCTTATAACAGCACGTCCTGGTCATCTCTGGCAACACTCTACTGGCCTGCCCCCATACCTAGTGAGATCAATGACAAAAAAAAAAAAGACTCTAAACATGTGAAATCAGGGCTGACAAGTTCAGCTCAACTCCACAACCTTAAATGATTGCGGCTTTGAATAGTTAGCCTTAAAGTTCCCAAAGGGAGAAGTTATTCTCATCGTAGTCCTATGGAATTTGTTCAAAAAGTATCTCTACTAATGGTGACCATACTATAATTAATTGCAATATCCTTTTGAGAGGAAAGGTACCAAGAACTAGCATGAGGACACTAACATTTAGACAGGGGAATTTAAGATAAATTTTAAAAATACAAAGACATTAGTAAAAAAAAAAACATCCTAACTCAGCAAGAAAAGAAATTAAAGTCTGTAGATTTGACATAGGGGCTACTTCCACAAACCATGATAGTCAAAAAAGCATGAATGGCCATAAATAAAAAGAAACAAGAAGGCAAGAAATAAACCAATATAGCTAAACAGCCAGTTGAGAGAGATTATTGGAGTCAAACAGACACCCTTCTGAAAATGAACAGGAGTACTTATGGCACCTTAGAGACTAACAAATTTATTTGAGCATAAGCTTTCATGGGCTACAGCCTACTTCATCGGATGCATGTAGTGGAAAATACAGTACGAAGATATAACTAGTTCCAGCCAGCCCTTGATTGGCTTCAGGTGTCCCAATCAATGTAGCTATCTCCACTGCCTTCTAGAAGGATCTTAATTGGCCCCAGGTGTCTTGATTAACCTGGAGCAACTGCCATTTGGTTACCATGGTACCAAGGATTTGTTTAGCCTGCGGCTAACATACCTGTTCCTCACTACTTTACTGTAGCCATCTGGCCTTGCCCCATCACAATATATATCTTCGTACTGTATTTTCCACTACATGCATCCGATGAAGTAGGCTGTAGCCCATGAAAGCTTATGCTCAAATAAATTTGTTAGTCTCTAAGGTGCCATAAGTACTTTGTGTAATGGCCCATCCACTCTCAATCTTTATTCAAGCCTAATTTAATGTGTTCAATTTGCAAATTAATTTCAATTCAGCAGTCTCTCGTTGGAGTCTGTTTTTGAAGTTTTTTTTGTTGTAATATTGTGACATTGTTTCATGTTCTCTGTGTATATATTGTGGCAAAGTTCCTCCTCTACCTTGGTGGGTCCTGCGCTTATTGGCGGATTTGCTCACCTCAGTGATCTTCCCCTCTGGTGGAACCCACAGTCTGGGTCAACTCCTCCTGTGTCTGATCAGGAGTTGGGAGGTTTGGGGGGAACCCGGGCCCGCCCTCTACTCCGGGTTCCAGCCCAGGGCCCTGTGGACTGCAGCTGTCTATAGTGCCTCCTGTAACAGCTGCATGACAGCTACAACTCCCTGGGCTACTTCCCCATGGCCTCCTCAAAACACTTTTACCCTCACCACAGGACCTTTCTCCTGTCTGATAATGCTTGTACTCCTCAGTCCTCCAGCAGCACACCCTCTCACCCTCAGCTCCTCGTGCCTCTTGCTCTCAGCTCCTCACACACACACACCTCACTGACTAACATACATTATCCTAGAGGCTATAGCACCTTTCTTCTTATTCATCTCCTTTGTAAGGGCTTGTCTGCACAATGTGTTAATGCACTGTGCAGACAAGCCCTAAAATAAACAATCCCAATCTTTTCAACCTCTCTTCATATCACAGTTTGCCATCTGGACCCTCTACACAATGCTCTTTTTGAGGAGGGCTGACCAGCACTGCAGATTGTAGTCAAAATGGCAGCATAACATTGATTTACATAATATCTGATAACATTGTTATGGGTTAGGCTAAACTCCATTAAAGCTGGTGAGTTTAATGGCTGCCTTTCATTCATGATAAGTGTAAAAAGCAATTGAGTTCCTTTATGGAACCAGATGACTGAAACAATAGGAGCACCATGCAAAACACAAGTGTACGGCAAGCCTTGAGCAGAAGCTGAACCATGTTGTCCAAGGGGTTTTTCCCTGGAACTGAAAGAGCAAATGCAGAATCTAGGTAATTGATTGGTGCAGTTGTGTGTGACAGAAGCAGCAATAAAAATGAGAGAAGCTGAGAGAGAAGCATCAGAAAGCCCAGGAGACAGTCACAGAATCACTGGGAATGTATCCCTGAGAAAAAGCCTAGA